TATATATATACACACTCGTGCGCGCGCGCGCACACATATATATATATATATATATATATATATATATATATATATATATATATATATATATATATATATATATATATATATATATATATATATGTTACGTGTATGTTATTCTCAACTGCATACACTTCATACAAGTACATGTTGCATGCTGGTTTCTATTTCCTTGGTTTGATGTAAAACTGGTAACAAGTACCGTGGAATTTGTGCAGTTCTTTCAGGTGAGACATGATGCATTTACAAAAAGGAATTCACGGTCATACCAAATCAAACATATATTAGTAGTTCACCACCGAGCGCAAGTGTAGGCTGTTCTTCAATCTTTATACTAGTGTAAGCAAAAGAATTTGCATAGCTGCATACAAGTACAGCTATGTGTGTTTGTGTGCGTGCGCGCATGCGCTAGCATACACTGCATACGAGTACATGTTACGTGCTGGTTTTTATTTCCTTGGTTTGATGTCAATCCTGTAACAAGTACCATGGAATTTGTGCAGTTCTTTGAGGTGAGACATGATGCATTTACAAAAAGGAATACAAGGTCATACCAAATCAAACACATATTTGTAGTCCACCACCGAGTGCAAGTATATGTTGTTTTTCAAACTTTATACTAGTGTAAGCAAAAGAATTTGCATAACAGTTATGCTATTACCATTCATATTGATGGAAAAAGAGACATGCATATTAATGTGTAAACTTTATGTATGGCTCACATATTTTTCTAAGGTAAAGTTTAAATGCTTAGTAAGATAGTAATGATAAGTAGGGGTAGGTGAGCATTAACATTTATATTGATCGAAGTCAGTGAGCAGTCAATGCAACCTAAGGATGATTTAGATCAGTGTTCTAGGTGGCATTGTATTACCTTCCTGAAGTCTCCAAGCCATTGCATGGAGCCTTCATAGAGCCTTGGTATCTAAGAACCTGCTGATTCTGTGTTATCCATTTAGAACAATTTAACTGATAGTTTTCACCACATTCCTTGTGATAACTATTGACTGTATACATTGCACCTGATGTATATGTCAGTTTAGTTCGGTTAAGGCTTTTTAAGTAAAACCATGGCCTACACACTGCTACTCTCCATTCCCGATGAAATTTAATATCCTGGTAACCTAATCCATGTTTTGTGCTTATAAAGCTAGATTTTGTTCAATATTGAAATGATGGATTGCAGTATATTGTGTCTCACATTAGCTTTTGTCAAGAGTTTGACATGGTCGGCATAACACAGCATACAAGGGCATGCAATGTGTTGATACTTGGGTGACAAGTTAAAATGTTCTGTTTTCTAAATGTTCATATCCAATAATCATATTGGTTTTCAGCTTCATGAGGTGTTCTTAAATGCCGAAACATTACTAAGGATGAGTTGAATAAATAACAAAATGGCAGCTTACAAATTCTAATTTGCTTATTGCTGAACCATTTCCTAAATTTTGATGCTTTAATATTTTCTAGTATCCTGAAGATTGAAAATGTTATTTGGACAGTTTCTGTTCCGATAGAATCATCTCCAAGATTACATTGACTATCTTCCTTTCATGATTCAGTATGTTCTGTCATTTTACCACCTTATGTTAGACTCATGATTAATTTCTCAACCTTTGTTTTCACCTATAAAAGATTGTTGCTTAGTCAATTATAATGTACTCTGCAGAAAAGGATGGCCCTTCGCTTAGCTGGGATAAGCCTAAAGTTGAGGATCTGATTGACTTCCTAACTTATCACCAGCACTGGGAGCCATCTTATATTCGGCAGAGGATGATTCCCATGTTGTCTACTGTGTACTTGAGAGAAATGGCCTCAACTCAGAATGAGAGCTCACTGCTAAATGACCAATATAAGTTTCACTCCATTCTGCGGGTGAAGATAAGTCATGGTCATCCTTACTACTTGGTCAAATGGAAGAGAGCTGCCATCAATACTGTCGTTCATAGTGTCTCCACTGAGCAAACTGAAGTCGACCAGACCCAATTATCGGGATCCATTGAGTCAACAGATCCATTAGATGAGCCAGATGTCCCAACAATTCTTGTGGATAATGGATGCTGGTTTCTCTTGACCGATGAAAACATAAATCTTGTACAAGCTGCATTTCCCAAAGAGGTCAACAACTTCATGGAAGAAAAGGTACGCACTATTCTTTACTTGTTCATAACAATCTTCTATGTTGTTAGTTGTAACATTTATTCCAGTAATAAGGTATTTCTAGGGCGACGTGTTTGCTCTCTGTGTTTATTTGTCAATCAGGAGTTACGGTGTCCTTGGACATCGATGTGTTGCTTATGAGCACATTGCTTATGAGCTGATCGCCTTTAACCTGATATACAAAAACCAACAGGACAATCTTCTAAATCTTTTACTTATGCTATTTTGTATCTAAGGTCCTTGAATTAATGACTCAGTCAACACAAAGTTCAAATAGTCAAATTGGATTGGGAAATCAGAAGGTTAGTATGTTGGTATCAAGTTACCATGCATATACTTGGCTGTGTTTCGACCAGATTAATGGATTTGCTTCTTTTCAGTTTTCAGATTAAATTTGTCAGTATATGCTAGTAATTCTTATGTTATAGCAATAATAGTAGGCACCTGCTTCCCAGAATGTTTGTTAGCTTTTTTACCGAGCTAACAGAATCCTAGTTTGAGAAGGAAGAAAGTCTGGTTGCTTGGGGTATCTATGTTTCTTGCTATTAATCAGAAGTATTGGAATTTATTTTGTTGATGATGCTGCAGATCTGTTGCTACTTTCAGATTGTACTTAAATCAGAAGTATTGGAACATATTAGCACTTCAATTTATAAAAGATTATCAAGTATTTCTTATTTTAGGACCGTTTAATTCTATCCTTCAAGTAAATCTTGGACCTCACAGATTTAATCTATCTTGTAAGGTTCACTTTTAGTTCTCCAACTTTGGGAAATTTTTGATAGGTTTCTGTATATTAAGAGGTTCAATTGTCAAACTTTGCAGGGGTCAGAAGAATTTAGATCAAAACAGAGCAAATATATGTACAAAGCTGGTATGTCTGACAAATTGGCACCTTCTAAATCCACTGGCGTCCAGCTTAGCATCACCGAGTTTTACCGTTCAGAAAAAGTATTGGCTCAACCTGCATTGGGTGATGACTCAGAGAAGAAATCAGGCAAAGGCAAGTCACCAGGAGATCATAGAAGGAAGTCAGATGATGTGGATAAGAACTTACCCAAATCTGTTCGGAGACGCCTCTTGTTCAACTAGCTTGTGTCCGTTCTCTTCTTAGTTTAGATTTTGCTTTCGTGTCTGTATAGCTATTTTGCTCGTTCTGCGCTTTCATGTATATTATGAAGAAATGATGTTAAATGTGGCAGCCTCTTCTTTCGCCCAACCCATTTTGAGAATTAGTGATCGAAGTATATGATACAAAGCCTGACCAATTAAGTTCTTTTGACATTTGAATTGTTGTAATTGGCTTCTTCAGCTCATTTACCACTAAGAAAACGGTGGAGAAAGATGGGAATCACTACCATTGTTGGTAGCAGATGTGCAGGTATGCATCTTCTTTTACTAAGACTCTCCTGGAATATTCTTCCTTATAACGAGACCTGTACCTTTTTGACAGTGACAGGGCTTCCTTTTCTTGCCTCGATAGAATGCTGCCCATCAATATTGGATCCTACGATGTGAGAGGGCATCAGGCAGATGTTGACAGAGATCTTTGCATAAGCTGGTAATCTATTCAACCCCTCATAAACATATCTATCTCATGTGAAGAAATCGTATGTAATTTATCATGTTCCTAGTCTGTACCATAAAAAAAAAATATCGGCTACTTTAACTCGTTGTCATTCTCCGTCGTCAGATGGAGTGGCTCCAGAGTGGCACGTCAGCGCCTGCGTCCACGTCGTCCCAGTTACACCCACCGTTGGGCGGCGGCTCCACCAGCAGCAACCCTTCCGCCATCCCGGAGTAGTAACCGAAGCCCAAATCCATGTCGTCGTAAGCCATCGCATCGATTGCGTCTCCTCCTCCGGTATCCTCTTCCGGCGACATCGTTGAAGTCGTGGCCGCTGCCGATGATGCTGCTGCAGAGGTCTTCCCCTCCTTTGCATCGCCGTTGGAGTCCGACGGCGGCCGGAACGCCTCCGCCGCCTCCGCTGCGGCCCGTGCGATGTCCCGGGGGCCGGAGAACGAGGGCGGCACGCGGAGCCGCCACGCCGAGTCAGCGAAGTTGAGGCAGGCGGAGCGGCCCCGGAGCATCATCGCCGCGACGTCGTGCGCCCGCGCCGCCATATCGGCGGTGGGGAACGTGCCCACCCAGATCCTGGACTTCTTGTTGGGCTCCCGGACCTCGCAGACCCACCGTCCGGCGGCGCCCCGCTGGCGGACGCCCCTGTACACCGGGTGGCGCGTCTCCCGGAACTTGGTCCGCCCCGCGGGCCGCTTCGGCGGCGCCTGCGACACCGTTGGGTAGGACCACGTCTCCCGTGATCCCGAGGCGGACGCGGCGCCGTCTTCGCCACCAGAGAAGGTCTCCATGCTTCGGCTATGACGCTTTGTTCCGGAGTGTGCGGTGGAGCGACTGAAGAGGTGTGTCTTGTTGTTGGGGAAGAAGGGGCAGAGCCATGCGGACATAGATATACACACAGCGGCAAGCGGCGACGTCGCCCTCGCAACGCGGGAACACCGATGACAGCTGGATCAAGCCGAGCAGAGACCTTCGACTTCACTCCACTCTTTACCTTCTCGAGGATAGAATGGTAATGGCGTGCTCTACCTTCGCGACACAGGTGGCCGTCGCGTCTGCGCTGGCATTACCGTACTTGTCCAACGACAGGGGCGGTGCGGGCTGTCGTCAGAGCCCGGCGCTGCCGGGACTGGACTCGGGGTGGTCAAAGGTAAAGCCTCTGCTGCAGGATCGAGGAAGGAAGCCGCCGACCCGAGATTGATGCCACGTATGCAGGTGTCAAGTACCGACTTTTTGGGCACAGTGGCCCGTTTACTTTTTCTTGGTATGGAAGATATCTTGACGCACTTCTGACGGTTAGCTGTCAGTTTGGTCGCCCGCGCAAGACACGCGCTTTCTAGTGGTACGGTCGGTGACGGTTGCCAATTCCGAACAACCCGACTTAACATGCCCCCTTCTCTCCACTCAAGAAGCATCCCCTGAAGCTTCTCTACCCTTCCCAAGCCATCCATCAGTCTTTCTGATCTCTCTCTCTCTCTCTCTCTCTCTGACTACGTCAAAGCTAGCAGCATGGCGTCAGGATAAGGATAAGAGTTTCAAGCATTGAAACATCCGTTTAAAGCACATGTTGTTTTGACTTGTGACAGTTTGGAAAGATCGATGCACCAACTTGGACTGCACAGACTGGTGCAGATGAGAAATGCCACAGTACTCGACCACCAACATCCACAGACTATCTCTCAGGGAGTGGAGTACTGATGCTGCTGGGTCGCAAGCACAATTAAGCTGAATGGATCCTTAATGTCATTATAGTTAATTTTTAATAACGTCATCGAAGCTTCAAATAACATTATTTTCATTAAGTAATTACTTTTCCTTTTAGATTGAAGTCTTTGCTATTGGACGTGACTTTATTGGAAGGATACTAATATTTTTAATTAATAATTTAAATACGTTGAACATAGAAATATGTGTAAGGGGGCAAATATGCTATTTCGAACCTTTGAAGGGATAGATATGTGAAGAACAGAGCAGGACAGGATCCATCCAACGGTCAGGATTGTCCAGCCGCGTCTGCCACATCCCACCCTCCTTCAAAGCTGGTCATCGGGCGGTGTATCAAAGAAACCCCACCGCCGCCCATCGAGATGCTCTCCGTCCGGCCATCCTCTCCTCCGCCCTGCCTGGCGGCCCCGCCTCCGCCGCTCACCCGCCCCTGCCCTGCTCGGCGGCTCCTCCCCTGCGTCGCCGTGGCCGCCGCCACTGGACAGCGAGGAAGGCGACGAGGCGACGACGATTACCACGCTACCATCCGGTCCCTCAACTCCCGCGGCCGCCACACTCCAAGAAAGTCGCTCGGCCAGGTAAGAACACGTTCGGCAAGAAGGAAAGATAACGATCGTCCGGTTCTTGGACCTTTCGAGGTCTTGATTCGACTTGTTTCGTCTCCTCTCTTCGCCCAGCATTATATGTTGAATTCGAGCGTTAACGAGGAGCTCGTTAGGGTCGCGGGGGTCGGAGAAGGCGATGTGGTCCTGGAGATAGGGCCAGGAACAGGTTCTTTGACCAACGTCCTGATAGATGCCGGCGCTACGGTGGTTGCCATCGAAAAGGTCAGCAATTCTTCGCTCTCGCGACCCTGTACGCATTTTTCTTTATTTATATGTTTGCTTACATGACGAAGCTGCAATTTTCTTTTACTTTTTCTCTGAATAGGTGTTGAGATTAATGTATTTCACCTCAAAATTGCCACTAATTTATAGAACTCATATTCTCTATCAAGTTTTACAAAGTCTTCCCTTTCTTATCTGTACATCTTTATTAATTTTGTCTTGACATATAGTCTGTAACCATAATGATAGAGTGAAGAAAGACTGTCTTGGGGAGCTGCGAGAGGAACATTCATTTAAGATAAAGCACAAATCAGCCAAGACTTTTCGGGCTTTTTGGGTGTAAGCGAGTTCTTTAGGCCTAAGGATATACGTCAATTAGATTCTTTTTACTTGATTTCTTCCTCCTTGTCACTAGAGTGACATAACTATGAGACCTGGAGTGACAGTCCGACCAAGTCTCAGTTACTGGTCTAACCGATTAGACCATTTGCTTAATTGAAAAATATATAATTATATAAAAATTTTACATAATATTTGAAATTTTTTCATATAAAAATATTAATAAATATGGCCATATATATTTTCACTAACTTCTTTTGCTCTTGTGAGCAAATCTTCCACTTTTGGAATAAGTTCCTGATGATTTAGATTTCAATGTATCAAGAATTGAATATCTTTGTGAGTTGCATATATATATATATATATATATATATATATATATATATATATATATATATATATATATATATATATATAATAATAATAATAATAATAATAATAATAATAATAATAATAATAATATGTGTCTACATTTTTTTATATAAATTGTCACTCACATATTGCGAGCTTAGTAGTTATTCCAAACTCGATAGTTCTGGAAAGTGAATCCCTTATTTCTTGAGTCTTCAAGCTAGTGGAGTAGTATCCATCTTACTTTACTAAAGAGAATTGGGCTTGTATGAAGTTTCACTACTTTAGGCTCCTTTGTAGATGACATGTCTATTTGCAACTAAGGTATCGAACTGATTAACAGTGAATTCACTGTTGACTACTAGTTCTAAAGATAGGGCATTTTCGGTTTCAATTTTTCTTCAAACTCATGCTTTAAATCTTTAAGAGATTTTTAATCCAAATTTCCAATTTGTTGCAAAATTATCATAAAAATTTGGAACTTCCTTTCTATTTCAGGATCCACACATGGCCACTCTTGTTCAGGAAAGGTTTCGTTCTACAGACCAATTGATGGTAATCCTGCTTTAAGTTACTATTGGATCTTTCCCTGAATGTTGTTTGTTTCATTGTTCTTGCCATGGTTATTGCCATGGAAATGTTTTTCAGTACGATTTAAGATTATTTAGTCTTTTCTAAAAAACTTAAATGATACTTCAGGCTGTAGTTTCTGTAATTTGTTTCAGGAGTCACGGACTTTGTGATAATAATTTCCATAATATACAGCTACCTCTAGATCCTGTTATCAGCTTATCAGGCACGTACCTGAAAGTTCTTGATTAACCTACCAATAAGTAGTTTGGTATTGAATCATATCACTTGGCAGTTCTCCTTATTCTCTAAACCTTTTGGAAACCTGCCTAAAGAAGAAGATGACACCTACATGATTGACATGCTCTCTTCGAAACTTGAAGATCTAAATATTTAATTATTTCCATGTTTAACTAAATGGTGGAACATAAATCGCTAATTTCTTCATTGATGGCCCTTAAAGTACTTTTGACATTTTGTACTAATCAAATTCTCAGTAACTCATTGCATGAGTAAATCAACCAAGCCACCTTATGAATCTCTCCTGGAGCCATAATTACTATCTTGTGCCATGTCCTAATGCATTTATCTAGATGAAATTTGACCTAGGAGTCATCTATAGCTTAGTTATCATTTTTTTTAATGGCCCTCTGAGATTACCTTAATATGTTGTACTTGATCTCACATCCTTGATCTCCCTTTTTCAATGGGCATATCCTTGTCTGGATGTGTGACTTAATCTTGAATCTTGCTTGTTGTCACCCATTCTTCATGATTTGGAAGCCTTTTCTCATTTTAAATCCCTTTTTTTTTCTCAAAGCAATTATATCCAGAACTTCTCAATGTTTGTTTTTTCCAGAAAAACCGTTCCTTCATAAAATGTGTTGGAGTAGACAACTTAATTGTTATGTGGAGCTCTCAATATGCCATATATCCTGTAATATGCACCTCATATCATGTTGACAAAACGGTAACACATATGAAAGATAATGAGCAAGTTTTATTTATATCCCTATAATTGTTGGAAATTCCATACAATTATGTGTGTATCATACAAACACATGTAGTATCACTATCACAAGAATGATATGAAATGGAGGTGCTTCTCATAAAAATATATTTTATTCCTGACATGCTGTTTTCTGGTTGTTAAGAATGTTTTATAAAGATAACAGGCTCATATATCTAATTAAATTGTAACTGAAACAGACTTCTAAATATGAAAAAAATTCAGTTTTCTTAGTATCGCAATATAGTTTAAGCTTTTAATTTTTAAACTAAAGACCCTTGAGCTGAAAATGTAACAAGGATTGTAAACTAAAGTTCCTTGAATTGATAGTGAATTCTAAAATTTCTAAATTGGACTATCAAAGATTCTTTAGTCACCTAAAATTTTTCAAGAAGTGTCCAGGACCTTGAACCTGATTCAGTACCACTTCCCTATCAAACCCTTTTGACACATTTTAGAAAGAAAATTCCATCTAGATTCCCTCAGATCAATATGCAATGAGCTGAATTTCCAATTGATTTGAGAGGCTAATTTAAGGCGACATGTCAGAGCAGTGTACTTTCAATTAGTTAATAAAGTATCTGTTGAAACTTCTACTGGTTGTGTAGGTTTTGCAAGAAGACTTCACAAAATGCCATATCCATTCACATTTAAGTTCATTATTGGAGAAGAATCACAAGGAAAGCAGTCCAACATATGCAAAGGTTTGCATTATTTTTGGTTCTTTTCTTTTTATTTCTTATGAAACTACGTATTCTATTGTGTAGTTTATTCCTAGTGAGTTTTGTAGTTTGACATAGTTGATTAATGTTTGTTATAGCATTTCTGAAAGTTTTTATCACTTGCTAGTTACCATATTGTCAATTCTACATAAGCAAGTATTCATCATTAGATGCATCTAGATTCTATTTTATTTTCTTTTTGAGTCTTACAATTGACTCCAAGAATGTGATGGGAGGAAACATACATAATAGTTACAATGAGTAACATTATACTTAATTTTGCTAGAAGAGCATGTTAAAGTTGTTTGTATATATTCTGTGAGTTTCCCATTTCATAACTTTGTCAAGTTGCTGCTTCGGTTAAGGACTAGTATTTTCCAAGTCCACTAAGCAACTAAGAAGTTGTTTCCAGAGTGGCCATGGAAAACTACCTGTATTGCTTCTCAACATCAATCCATTTGCAAATCATGTGGTTTAGTTGCAATGTATGTACAGTATCTATGTACAGTATGTAGTTTGCAATATATGGCTATGCTTTCAGTAGCGGTTAGTGCCTTAAAATAGACATAGAAGTATAGAACACAGGTTTCGTGCATAGAACCAGCACTTAAGTAAACCAAAAGACAATAATAAAATAATTAGCATTTAATTGAGAACATAGGCTTCCAAAGCAGTGGTCCTGAATAAAAATTTTTGGCTGCTGCAAAGTACATTAGGTAGGCCAGTAGAAACAGACCTATATCTATGGTATGTTTAAATATTGTACTTGTACATTTTATCTTTTCTTCTCTTGTATTGTTGTTACGTATGCCATTCATTTATGAAATTAATGCGCCTATACCTTGTGTTCTAATAGTACCCCAGGATTTACTTTGTCCCTTACCAAGTGTAAGTAAACCTGACAATTAGAGTATCAGTTTGATTTATGCAGATCACGTTGCTAGCATGTTATAAAATTAAAGTTGATTACATCATATTTATATATAGATTTGGAGCAATAAGAAGGCATCAAACTCATTATTTTATGGTTCCACTTTCTTTTCTTTCTGCAGGTGGTTTCAAACTTACCTTTTAATATAAGCACCGAAGTCGTAAAGCAACTTCTTCCTATGGGTGATGTCTTCTCTGATGTCGTCCTTTTACTTCAGGTCTTGAGTGTTACTTTGTCACCTATACCTGTTTCAATGTGAATAATTTGGGGACATGAGTACTCACTCGTATTTATTACTTTGAAATGTGACATTAACCCCCACTCTCAGTAGGTCAGCATTTTTTCTTTCTGACATTAACCCCCACTCTCAGTAGGTCTTAGAATTGCTAATAATACTTCAATCCATCCTCTAGATATCAGTAGTGGTTCAGCAATTGTTCACTGCTTCTACTTCCTATTTTGATCCAGAAAATTTCTGTCATTTGCAATTCATTTACCTTGCTGTAAGACATTTTCTAATGTCGTTCGGATTTGTCTAATGCACTACTCGGATGTTACTGTGGATCTAGGAATATATGAACATTCTTTTTTGGCATAAATATGTTATCATTGTCAGCGATGATGTTTCACCTTGATAAACATAATCTGTATGAAAAATGAAAGTGCTGTGAGCAACAGATTGTAATGTTTTACATATCATGCTTGTAAAATACTGATACAGTACAGAGGTGCATACTGTGCATGCGATACTGTGCTAGTGCATGATACACATTGGCATCCATCAACTTTCATATGCGGCTACCCATTGGTACGTGACCTACAACTCACATATGCAAGTTCAACACAGCATTCTATGATACATACCATGCACGTGGTAAGGTCTCGTTAGTCCTTACATTTATAGGCAACTCATGATTGCCACATGACAATCTACTCCTAAGTCCTATCACTTCTAATTTTTTGTAATATTTGATGATCCTGCTCTTGAAACTTTGGTAAGGTTTTTCAGTTGTACTTTTTTTGGTCATGTGCTTAACTTCCACTATTACTTGTCAAGCTATGTCTTGAGCATTGTTATATTTTCACTTAGTGTTCTACTGATTTATTCTTGAACAAATTATGTTACACTTTTCATACTTGGTCACTTAATACTTGCTGGTCAAATTTCTTTATGGTTGATAAGTTTGTGTGGAGAATTAGTTCTTTTATTGGCGACAATCGACAATGTTGTAGGTTAGAAGCTTCTGCTTTTCTTTTTTGATGTTTTATTTTTTACTTGATTATTTCAAGCTTTAATTCATGACGGTTGGTTAATGACTGATGAAGTAATTGTGTTGTTTGTAGGATGAGGCTGCATCACGCCTGGCAGATTGTTCTTTACGAACACCAGAGTACAGACCCATTAACATTTTTGTGAAGTTCTACTCAGGTACACACTCTTCTGTGTTGTGGACTTAAGAGGAAAGTTTTGATTTACATGAAAATACTGTGCTCTTAAATGTGGTATCCCTCACCGAGAAAACTGGAGACGAGCCAATTCCTTAGTTACGCAGGTTAGGTGGTTACTTACATGTATTTGTCTTTCTGTCGTGTCACTATTAACATCGGATGGTGGCAACATGTTAACAATGGATGGTGGCAACATGTTATGACGAATGTGACCTGTTAAGGTTTGGTCCCATGGTGAATGCCTAGAAGTTTTTACATTTGAAAGCAGTTCATCTTAAATGTCATCTGTTCTTGTTCAGATTACTAATGAACTTGTTAGCTATATGTTTTTCTTGCCAGACAAACTTATCTGGATTCTAGTGTAGGTTCGATTGATGTCAACTCTAAGTGAATTTTTTATACAATTTCAATATTGGATTACATCTTTAGTTCGAGCTTTATACCTTATTATGGAAAACAAAATTAGGTACATAGACTGGACTTTACACTTGACATTTTGGATCCTAGAATGCAGGAAATCTCTTTTTCTCTGCCTGATGCCTGGTTTGAGAAAATATAGCCCTCTTAATGTCTAAATAACTTTGACAGGCAGACACTTCTGATGAAGGCAGTAAATGTACTATAGAGATACTGCATGGATATTGCTTTTTGATGTTTCCATTGTGTGAGATTTTGACCAGCCAAACCATGGTTATGGTACTGGTTGAGATATAAATCATTAAATAATTAGAGTATGTATCAATCCAGATTTTTGGTGGGCTTGGAAATATTTATTAGCATATATGCAAACTAAAGTGTTTGCAAGTCCTTATGCATTAAGTGCTTTTTATTTTTATAATGTTCATCTAAAGGAATGCAAATTTATTTTTCCATGAATATAAATTGTTTCTTACCACTACTTACAATGAACAAGGTGGTCCATTATGAGGTTCTTATGGCCTACAGCATATCAATCATGCATACTACAGTACAGCTTTTGTTTAACTTAGTGATGGACTCTCATTCATGCTTTGTTTCCTTAAGACACCTAATGCTCATTCATGGAGATGATTCTAGAGAATCATTGTTCGGTGTTAGTATATTGGACACCAATGCATTACTCCAACCAGTTTCCACTAGGCAATCACAGTTTCTATGAACGATGCACAAGGCACATGCATTATCCACTAGTCCCATTTTTTAAGATTTTAAGTGGTAATAAGAGATAACTTATTTAGTGAATATCTATTTGGTCATTGGCATAGTCTTTTCATGTGAATTGGAGGGGATCGTGATATTCTTGAAAGTTTTTGGTAGTTAGTTAGAAGCTGTTTGCTAGATTTAAAGTTTCTAGTTAGCTGTGTGTTTACTGGTATTCTCTTTAAAGTTTCTAGTTAGCTGTGTGTTTATGCCAAGACTATGAGTAGATTATTGGTGGTGTTTACTTTGTCTCGTTGTGCCTCGAATTCACAGTGTTGGTGAATGAAAAAGTGAAAACATGCGAATGCTGAATAATATAGTTTTGTCTTGCCACACTTCGCAAATTTTTTTTCCCATGGTGTTATTCCTAACAAAGAATTTATTCCATGATGGTACAGATCCAGCTTACATAATCAAAGTTGAAAGGACCAATTTTTTTCCTGAGCCAAATGTAAGTTTTTTTCATTATCTTGGTTTACGTGCTTGCCGTGACTGTCTTTTATGTTTCTGATTTCCTTATCCTAATGGCTTGCATGTTTATCATCATTGTCCTATCTGTTTTGAAAAACTTGGATTAAGTCCAAGAATATTTGTTTACCTTGAATTTTTGGCTATTACAATTTTGTTTCTATCTGGAAATTTTAAGTTCATACTGGAGATTTCACTCAACATAAAAGCCATTCAAAATTTCATTAACATCACTTAATTAGGGCTTCTATAGAACATGTCCAACATTGAGTCGTTATTACAAGTTCAATTTAAAGAGCTTCATGAGCCCTGACAAAAGAGAGGTTGTTTCATCTTTTTGAAGTGAGCACTCTTAGACTGTCCTATTAGTCGGTTTAATAAAATTGGATTACATGTTGGCTTCTCTCCTTGTGATTGGTGCCTCTGGCTTACATGTGTTGGCTCAACATCAACCTGGTTCATCCCGATGTTGTGTACCATGCCAGATGCAAGCTTAATTTGGGGTATCATCTTTGGTACAAAGTCGTCTGAATGGCCTTTTCTGGACTAACTTCTGGCAAATATAATATTGTTGATCCTTGATATTGCCTCAATTTGTATTTCTTAAGAATATGTTTTGGAAGCAATTCATATTTTTACAGAGTAACTAGTGAATACCTTGAAACACCTGATATTTTGTGGCTAGTAAATGCTGATTGCTCAGACATTGCAAATTTTACTTATGTTTATGAAATCCAATACGATGGTCTTGACTCTTGACTTTACTTATAAATTCATCAGGAAAAACATCGGAAAAAAAAAGTCTAGAAAGTAATTCATGGATGTTCAGAAATTGGTTTTTTGTTGGTTTGATGCTTGATTCCTAGCAGGTTGATGCTGCTATTATTAGATTTAGACTGAAGCGAAGTGCAGAATATCCATTGGTTGCTTCATCTAAAAGCTTCTTTTCAATGGTGAGTTTGCAATCTTCCACTTCTCTACTTTCAATTGATTGTAATAGTTGGAACCTATAATCTCTGAATTGTCGTTGGATCAAATTGGGAAGACAGAGCAAGTAAACTTAGATTAATACAGTTTGAAAAGTGATGCTGTAACTTTTTTTTTTGGTTTATTTCAGCAGCTTAAAATCTTTCAAAATACAATTGTTTATGTAATTTTTCTTTTATATAGCTTGTTTGGATTATAAAAAGCAACTTTTACCTCTACTTCTATAATATACAGACAAGGATTTTTTGAACTATGATTTGGAGCTGTAAGAAACTTCTTTAATCAAGGTTGAATATAGATGGCAGTCTATTTGAGTTTGGAGGGAATTTGAAAGTATGCACATTCTAGAAGAGAGGAGACTAATAACTATAATTTGGTGCAATAAGAAAAATTCTGCTGTCAGGTTTGAATAAGGAATGAAGTCTATATTTTGGAGGGATATTTAAAGATATTCAAATTCTAGAAGAAAGGAGACGAAGTTACAGATCCTGCTTTCTTTTTGCCCTTTACATTCTATATTTTGGAGGGATATTTCGAGATATTCAAATTCTAGAAGAAAGGAGACTTAAGTTACAGATCCTGCTTTCTTTTTGCCCTTTACATTCTATATTTTGGAGGGATATTTCGAGATATTCAAATTCTAGAAGAAAGGAGACTTAAGTTACAGATCCTTTTTTTTGTTTTTTTGCCTTTACATTCTAGAAAATAGGAGACTAAGTTACAGGTCCTGCCTCCGGATTTGTGGTTGTACTTAACCTCTTTTCTTTTTTTCTATCTCATGGTGCATCTATTAATTAATAAGGTTGGTTTTTACAGTCAATTACTTAGTTGTTTAGGTCTCATTTTAGCAGGCCTAAATTCAACCTGCTATCTGGATTTTTTATATACAATATATTGTTGCGAATTAGAAGGCCAAGCAGTTTGATTTGATAAGGAGTTTTTGTCATATGATGGATGGAGATAAATGAATCATGTAAATTATAATCATCTTTTTCTCCAAGGTTTCTGATGGAAATAAGCACTCAAACCCCATGATCTTGTTGTTGGCTAGGTTAATTCTGCCTTTAATGGGAAGAGGAAAATGCTGCGTAAATCACTGCAGCATATATGTCCATCTGTTGAAATCGAGGCTGCTTTAATTACCATTGGTCAGCCGGTCACAGTAAGTGGTTACAACAATTCCTTCTCTTTAAAGCTTATTTATTTATTTATTTTTATCTTCTGTTATTGTTTAATTATTTTACCTTGTTTCTTTTGCAGGCCAGACCCGAAGAGCTAACGTTGGATGATTTTGTGAGCCTACACAATTTAATTGCAAAAAATTAGCTCTTCGTGTCTTATAAAGAATGGATCATGAGCTGCCTGACAGCGAGAAAGGGAATTCTTGTGCTCGGATCTTCAAGGAAGAGTTATTTGATCAAGTAGGTCAAATCTGTGGAGAAGGTAAGCGGCATTTAGTGGAGAACAAGAGTGATGTCTGGTTGTTGTTCTGTTAACCATTCATGTGATCTTATAATCTTCATCGCATAATTTTTATTTGATCGATTTTGCCAGGGTTTGTGCAAAGACCAGATTCCGAAAGGTGAGAAATATCATCCTAGAAGCACAATAGCATGAAGCATGATTACAGTCTAAAACGCCTACAAATTTCGGCTGCCACATGTAGAAGAAGTGATTCGACTCGCATGGTAATCTTTAGGGTTTGTGTAAGATTGGAAGCTGGGTCTATGAATGACTACCTTGCGGAGAATCGAAAGAACAATTGATGAACTGAGAATGGCACCCCCAACAACGACGAAGTTACATGTTGAACTGGAAATCTCTTGTTGGTAAGCTGAATTAAAGCTTGCAGTTGCATTGTATCTCCCTTTCAAGATCTGTGTAAAGGTAAAATGAGATCCTTCATTCATTCGGCTTTTGTTCTTGAATTGCTAATATTAAATTTTTGCAAGAACTAACAATGAATTGGTTTTAAGTGACTTGCACTTCAAATGTAGATTCGATATTTGATTGAATCCTTCGAACAAGAAACTAACATAAGCACGCAAGCATTAGAAGAAGAAAGCACCATGCAATCTTATAAAGTGGCATTTCATATTATTTCTATTTCCTCCTCTTTGACACCACCTAATCTTTCAGATAAAAGAAGAGCTGGATATGAATTAGCACGTTGAATCTCGAAATAAGTGACATAGAAAATATTTCAAACACTAACTCGGACCATCGAAGAGCACCGTTGAGTAGGAGAGTTGAACGATGTATCAAAAAATTATAATGTTAAAAATTGGATGAGAATTGGTTGACATGTTAAAAATAAGAGTTTGTGCTAAAGGTTTGATCATCATGCTAGAATGATCGAATATTATACCGAAAAATTAGATGTCATGAGAAAGTCGATACGTTTGTGGAGTAGACGATATACCGAAGTAAATGATAATCTACCAGACCTAGTGATAATCTTATGATAGACACTAAATGAGTCTTAAAGCAAAAGGAACAATATGTCATGGTTCGTAACAATACTCGATTAGTGGTCAAAAGCTTCAATAAAAAAGAATGTATATATTATGAAGAAACCTTCGCTCTTATCGTTAGACTTGAAGCCATAAGAATACTTTTTACCTATGTATGTTTTAAAATTTTTAAATTATTTCAAATGGATATCAAAAGTACTTTTCTTAATGGTTTTATTTTCGATAAAGTTTATGTTGCGCAACCATTTTACTCTGGTAAGTGAAGGTTATGTGCAGTCATCATGTAGAGATAAAATTGCTAAAAAATAAACCATCTTGATAACTATTTTAGGGGTTTTATAGCTTTGTAAGGTAGTGCAGAGTATCAACCAACGTAGCACATTAGAACTACCCAAGTGGCACATGATTGGACGAGCTTTTGGGGTAACATATAAGGTTGGTTCACTATCTTGTTTCGCAATAGTGTTATGTGAGCACTTGTGAGGATTTTTTATCATGATGAACCATCTTGAGCCCTTTATCATGCAATCGTTCAGAGCTTACGAAATTTATGCTTGTAATTTATATTATCTATTAAGTATTTGCTAAAATGTCTACTTGTGAGAACCCAAGTTAAATATTTTCTCTAATGTGTGGAATCCATCTCGGAATTCATGGCTTCTTGCCACTTCTCGGAGTCTATACTCGTAATAGCCTCCTCATAGGTCTAAGGATCAATATTTTCAACGTCCTCTTCTTTGATATATCTCACATATCTCTCAAAATGATGTAGTACTCTGTCGGACCTACGTAAAGTCGAAACTTATGTGCTAGGTACCTAAACAGACTCGGGCCGTGGAATTGTGCTTGAGCTAGGTTCTCTAATCTCGTTCAACTCTTTCACGCTCCTACTATCCCCACCAAGAATGTGTTCTTTTTCAAGGAACATTGTTCTCTTGGCTACCAAGACATTTTGGTCATCGATGTGATAAAAGTAATACCCACAAGTTTCCTTGGGGTATCCCATAAACTTGCACCACTCCATCCTAGATTTCAACTTGTTAGGGTTGTGTCTCTTAACATAGGCAAGGTAGTCTCAAATCTTAACAACCTTAAGATCGGGTTTCTTCCCTTTTCATATCTTATATGGTGTAGATATTACTGACTTAATTAGAACTCTGATCAGAAGATAAGTTAAAGACTCTATGGTGTATCCTTAGAATAAGATAGGTAGGTCGACGAAACTCATCATGGACTGCACCATGTCTACTAGCATGTGATTCCTCTTTTCTGATACACAATTGAGCTGAGGTATATAAAGAGATGTCCATTGGAGTAGAACCTCATGGTCCTAGAGGAATTAGGTGAACTCTGTACTCAAGTACTCGCCTCCTCGATCTGATCAAAGAGTCTTGATCATCTTTCAAGTCTGGTTTTCTACCTCATTTTTATATTCCCTAAATTTCTCGAATGCCTCATATTTATATTTCATCAAGTACGCATGTCCATGCCTAGAGAAGTCATCAGTGAATGTAATAAAGTAAGAATAACCTCCTATGGCTTGAGTTGACATGAGATCATATACATCACTATATATAAGTTCCAGTAACTCAGTGGCTCTCTCTCTAATTCCACTAAATGGAGAGTTGGTCAATTTTTCATAAATAACTCATATTTGAATGGATCTAAAAGTATTCATTCTTTAGCAACTTTTAGATTTTTTTTTCGTGGACGTGACCTAGCCTACAATGTCATAGGTACACATTGTTCACCTCATTAAGTTTCTCCTGGACACACTTACATTCATGATATGTAGAGCAATATCTAGTATAAATAAGTTGTTATGTAGTGTTCCTCTAGTGATGATCTTATTATCCAATATAATTGAACAACAATTGCTCTCAAAAACTAATTTATATCTACTAACTATCAACTATGAAATGAAAATAATATTTTTGATAATCGAATGAACAAAATAACATATATCTAATGTAATAGTAGTGCCACAATTAAGGTCTACAAGGTGATGCTTGTCAAAACTCTAACAAGCATCTAAGTAGTTCAAGAGATGAGAGACTAACACAATAAGAAAGGTCTTTTTCTTCATCTGAGGGATCCATAGGAACCAGCAAAGCTCAACACAACTAGACCAACTACACACCAAAATCAGAGTCATTAACGAGTTGAAGCAACAATGACGGATCAAAGTTTGATTACTCAATAATAGTAATAAAGAGTAGTTGGGAACCAAGAGGCATATTGTAATTAGAATAGATGATTGAAGAGTCAACAAAAGTGATGAGATACAGCATTCGCAAAGGCTTCAATAAATATGTTGAAAGAATAAGTGAGAGAGAATATCATAAATAAATCTATAAATATGGTATTTGATATAATATTTATATATGTATGTATTCTTCAGTTTTGTTCATATTTTATATAGCATATAAATGACTTACAGTAGGCTTGGCAACCCTATTTTAATTGGTTATTGTAGTCATATTAATCTTGTAAATAAAGATTGTGTGTAGTCATTACGTAGAGATAAAATTATCTAAAAATAAACCATCCAAGCAATTATTTTGGAGATTTTCTAGCTTTATAGAATGGTACAAAGTGTTAGCCAGCATAACACCCAAGAGCTACTAGGCCGGCACATCACTGGATGAGCTTTTGAGGTAGTGTCTAGGTTTCTTTCACTGTCTTGTTCCGCAATAGTGTCATGTGGATACTTATAGGAATTTTTGATCTAGATTTCGTTCATTGTCTTATTCTGCAATAGTATCATGTGGATAGTTATAGGAATTTTTGATCGTAAACTCTTTTATCGTATAATCGTTTAGAGTTTGAAAAGTCTAGTAATTTGTATATCTATCAAATGTTTTCTGAAATATTTGCTCGTGGGATCCTGAGTTAAATATTTTCTCAAACTCATCTTCTCTTTTATAGGTTTTTATAAAATTATAAGAGATTTCGAGGATATTAACCCTTCGTGGATGGACACATAAAAATATCGTATGACTTAAATAAAATCAATAAAATTATTAATAACACGATAAGCACATGTAAGTAAGAACACCATCACTCCACAAATATTTCATTACTTGGCAAAGGCCACGGATCCAGGTAACTAAGTCTCTTCCAACTTTCCATCATTCACATAGCAGCTATGCCGGTCCATTGCCCCCCACCAAAATCTGCACGCACAAGTGCCCATACAACACAAATATATGTGAAGCGTCCCCCTCCGATGAACCCTACAGCTCCGTCGTCTGGTGATCCAAAGCTTAGAAAGTGGTTTTACTTGTTGCCTTGCCAATAATATTTATACGATCTCGTCGATAATAGTTATTTATTTGTTCTATCGACGAAGACAAAAAGTTTGAAGTCCGTGATGATCGATACTACGGATGTGATCGGCGATGGTTTCAGCTCCCAACCTTGTACGAATCACTGGTATCTCCTGGCCAAACTCTTCGACAGTCTCAGTCTCACACGCATCTCTCTGTCACTCTCTAGATTTGAAGCATCGACCCTGGAGATCTTAGACTTGTCAAAGCCCCTCAACTCTGACTCGTGACTTCGTCACCGGTTCTCGGTGCACTCTCTCTACTCGTGGGTCGCTGCTGCAAACGATCGAGTCTGCGGCTGCTAATGCCGGAGAAAATGGAGTCGGAGGAGTGGTTGGGTCAAGTAACTCCGCCTCGACGTGACGGTGTCATTTGGTCGAACACGTTACTTGCGGAGTTCGATGTTGTGTTTCTTCTCCGTATGCAGACACGGAAGAACAGCTTGGTGGCCAAAATGTGTGCAATGGGGGGGATGCGATTTGAGAGGCCGAACGAGAGACGACGAGGTAGCGAAGACTTGCTCGTCTCCTAACAGCCGACAAATTTGCGGTCTTGAATCCAAGATCGAGAACGAAAAAAAAAAGGAAGAAGCAGACGTACGCCAGCCTTTTCGGTGCCATCGCCTTCGGCCGGCGGCGGCGACAACAGCGAAGCAACGTGTGGAACCGAAGCCTGCGAGGGTTGGAGTTATCCTGACAGCCGGCGCCGCTGTGGCCTCGAATGGCAGCAAGAAGGGTGATGGTGATGATGATGATGATGATGAGAACATGGACCACGCAGCAGCAGCTGTTGCTGCTGCTGCTTTGGCCACAGTCGAAGTCGGCAGCTGAAGCCTTGGCATTTCGGTCGAGCAGATAAGCACCGAATCCCACTTGCAGGTGGGCAGCACTGTTGCTGCTTGTGGAGGGGATTCCAGATAAGCCTCCTCTCCACCGAAATGGACTCCGAGACACGCTGATGACCTCCACCCTCTCACTGTGCACATAAAGGTCGGATCAAATCTGTGCACAGGCTGTGGTACGCACCAGCTGCTCGAGGAAATGCCTGCCTGCCTGCCTGCCATGGGCTTCAATGATTTGACTTTGCCCAATTTCACAGCTACAATCTTCCAAGTTTTGACCTTGATTCCCTACTTGTGCGCTAGAATCCAACTCCAAATCTGGGCAATCAGAACCTGGATCTCGTGGTCCTCCCTCAGCTTGGACCACAATGGTGATGAACAGTTGTGCAACTGGGCTACAAGATAAGAAGACGCCACCCAACTCTCCCTGTTTGCAACATGAGGCCATCTGGATCCGTGGTGGACAACACCAATGCACCACGATTTACTTGAGCAGCCTTTGTGCTTATCCCAAAGAGGAGAGGAGAGGAGAGGAGAGGAGAGGATACTGTTGAGTGCTGCTGCTACGCGACTGTGGGGGCAGTCTTACAGTCTCTAACAAGGGGAAGAACATTGATGGACTGAACTCATTTTAGGTTGCACAAGGCACTGTTATCCCATGGAGGAAACAATCCTGCCCTGTGTCCTGCAATGAGGAAGCAATCCCATTATTGATCCTACAAGGTTGCAGAAGAGGCATTTGCAGAGGATAATGCTGCCTGCAAATGCATCACAGTTACCATGGATGATGATGATGGATCAAACATCATGAGGGGGAGAAGGAATCCCTCCACACGAGACGACAAAGGAAATGGATGCAGACAAAGACACACACAGCAGCAGCAGCGGCGGCAGCAAACGAAGCAAAGGTGATGACCATCAGCCACTGTTCTCCTTTTGTCTCCTTTCATGCTTCAACACCGATGCCTTTTTCTCCCTCCTCCTTAAGCATCATGTGATCCCAGTTTATAACGTTAACAGCAATGTGATTTGAGATCTGAACCCAAAAACCTCGCTTCTTCTTCTTCTTCTTCTTCTCTCTCTTCTCTCTCTTCTCTCAATCTTCTTTCTACCTCGTACTCTTGTCTGTAATTTGGCCGTACTGTTTTAACAATGCTATCCGCCTGCAGAAAAGCTGACCATACCACGTTGACTTCTTTCTCCCTTCCTTCCCAAGAGATCATCAGAGGTTTAATCTTCCGAGACCACAAGGCTCGATCACCGACACATCAACCCGAGAACAGAGTCAGCATCAATTAGCTGGACCAAATCATCTCCAAATGCCATACGGAACTGATGTCAACTCTCTCGCTAATCTCCATCACCGGTCATCTGATCAGCATCTGAAGGTGTCCAGATATTTTCCCCATGAAGATGAAGAGGAAGCAGAGGAAGACTCCAAACCGTCCTTCCTTTTTACCCAGGCTGTACCCTTCGCTTATTTACTTGCGAGTGAGATGTTGCTATAGGACGACTCCGCCGGCCCCACCCTCACCAACCAGTCACTGGTCCCGCGCCGCCTCTGTGCCCTCTTTCCCTCCCCTGCCCTTATCCATGAATGTGTGTAAATTGATGCGGGTGTACTGTAATGTTACATGTGATGGGTTAGAGGACAGTAGCAGTAGTAAGTCCGTATACGTATGTGTGTATGGATACCTGCATGCATACCTGAAGCATGACATGGTCATAATAATGGCAATAAAATGGGAAGTCGAAGTTTTGGTAGGTGGTGGTGACCAAGTGAGGCATAGGCAGCAGGTTTGCTCATTATAAGGAATAGTAGTATAAGAGACAAAAGACTTGCCCATCCAATTCTGACCTCACATCACCTGTCCACCCTATCTCTCCCTCAGCATCACAACACTTGAGCTTCTATATAAGCTCTTCCCGCTCCTCCCTTCTGTTAGCTACTCTTTGGCCCCTCCTCCGCCTCCTCTTCATTCTCCCACACGGCAGCCTCCCCCACAAGTGCAGAAACAGCTTCATTACACACAGAGAGAGAGAGAGAGAGAGAGGGCAGGTGTGTTTATGTGTGCTTTATGTTGGATTAAGAACGAGGGAGAGAGAGAGAGAGAGAGAGGGAGGGGGGGAAGGAAGCATGTCAGTTTGCGAGGACAAGGAGAGACTGAGTGAGCCATTGGTCGAGGGGAAGTGGGCGAGTCCAACCGAGGCGCCACGGCTCGAGCCCAAGGCGAGAAAGGACGTGACCGCGGCCGTGGTGGAGGCAAGGTCCATACTGTGCCTGGCCTCCCCCATGGCGCTCGCCGGCCTCCTCCTCTACTCGCGTTCCCTTGTCTCCATGATCTTCCTCGGCCGCCTCGGCCGTCTTCCACTTGCTGGCGGTGCGCTGGCCATCGGGTTTGCTAACATCACCGGATATTCCGTGCTCTCCGGACTCGCCATGGGCATGGAGCCCATCTGCGGCCAGGCCTTCGGCGCCCGCCGCCCTGCCCTCCTCGGCCTCGCCCTCCACCGCGCGGTCCTGCTCCTCCTCGCCGCTTCCCTCCCCGTATCCGCCCTCTGGGTCTCCATGCGCCGCCTCCTCCTCCTCTGCGGCCAGGACGACGACATCGCCGCCGCCGCCCATGCCTACGTCCTCGCCTCCCTCCCCGACCTCCTCGTCCAGTCCTTGTTGCATCCCATCCGCATCTACCTCCGCTCCCAGTCCATCACCCTCCCTCTCACTTACTGCGCTGCCGCCGCCGCCGTCTTCCACCTCCCCGTCAACTACGTCCTCGTCTGCGTCCTCCGCCTCGGCATCCGCGGCGTCGCGCTGGCCTCCGTGTGCACCAACCTCAACCTCCTCCTCCTCCTCCTCGTCTACATCTACCACTCCGGCGTGCATGAGCGCACGGGGGCGCTCAACATCACGGCGGAGAGCTTCAGGGGCTGGCGGTCGCTGCTCAACCTCGCGATACCCAGCTGCATTTCGGTGTGCCTCGAGTGGTGGTGGTACGAGATCATGGTCCTGCTCTGCGGCCTCCTCCTCGATCCCAAGTCCACCGTCGCGTCCATGGGAATCCTAATCCAGACCACCTCGTTGATCTACATTTTCCCCTCCTCCCTCAGCTTCGGCGTGTCGACGCGCGTCGGCAACGAGCTGGGCGCGAACCGCCCCGACCGAGCCCGTCGCGCGGCCACGGTGGGCCTGGCCTGCGGCGCCGCGCTGGGGCTCCTCGCCTTCGCGTTCGCGGTGGCGGTCAGGAACGCGTGGGCGCGCATGTTCACGTCCGACGGCGCCATCGTGGGGCTGACCGCCGCCGTGCTCCCCATCGTCGGCATGTGCGAGCTGGGCAACTGCCCGCAGACGACGGGATGCGGCGTGCTGCGGGGAAGCGCCCGCCCCCGCACCGGGGCCAACATAAACCTCGGCTCCTTCTACGGCGTGGGGATGCCGGTTGCCGCGGCGCTGGCCTTCTGGGGCGGCCTGGACTTCCCCGGGCTGTGGCTCGGCATGCTCGCGGCGCAGGCCACGTGCGTCGCGCTAATGCTGCTGGTCATCCACCGCACCGACTGGCAGCTGCAGGCCCAGCGGGCGCAGCGTCTCACCGGCGGCCCTCTCAACACCGACGCCACAGTCGTCGTCGTCGTCGTCCAAGACAACGATCTCGACGCAATCAAGCAAGCCGCAAAGCTCGGAGCCCAACAACACTGAGAAGTCTGTGTGTGTGTGCGCGCGATTCATTTGTTGGTCAAACCATTGACCGATTGACTGCATTCCGCAGTAGTCGATTGAGCTTCATCGCTTGTTCCATTCGTCGCCATCACCCAAATTCTTGTGATCTTTTCGCATGTGAAGGGATCAAATACTGTAGCAAAAGGGAAGAACAATAAAACTCCTCAAGCTTCACACCACTCGACTTCGCCGCATCTTCAATCCTCTCTCTCTCTCTCTCTCTCTCTCTCTCTCTCTCTCTCTACAGTGATTCGCCGCTGTTCGCCCCTTCCCGATACATTGCAACTCTGTTACCGCTCAACTTGGCTACAAGTTGTGGATGTTGATCCGTCGTCCAAGTTGTTGACTCACCAATTAGATCGTCGCCTACTCGGTCAAACGAGTACAGCTCCAATCGAAGAGAGTTTGAAGCTTGCATGGAAGAAACAGAGCCCAAACTCGCAGAGCACGCAGTCAATCCGGAAGAAACCTGCGAGTACTCCACTAGCACACGGGAAAAGACCATCAAATTGTGGACCATCATCATCTTGCACAGACACAGCCAACCCCATCTCTTTCACCTCCATGACTCTGCTCCTGCCAGAGACGAAGTTACAGAGGCCTATCCATCCCTGCTCTCACCAAAGTGGCAGCACTCATCTGATCCTTGGAGATGCAGGTGGAGCCCAGAAGATTCTTGGAGCAACTTGGATACCTAGTCGCCCTGTTCATCATGCATGCACGTATAAGAATATACCAACAACAAGTACAAGCAGAGCCAATCCCTCCCACGAGTTTCCAGGATCAACTTGTTCCTCCGGAGCTGCAGTTGTCGACTAGTTTAATGAGAGGGCGACTGCAGGATCGAAGCAAGCAACGCTTAGCTAAAGCGTTACGGGCTTTTCGGTACCCCCAAAGGTCACCAGTACGCCGCAGTGTCATCTCCCCCGATTACTCTAATCACTCCCCAACTGTTCGACACAAAAGTCTAATCTTGTTTGCAGGATTAAAAATGAGTAAGATTCAAGTAAACGATCAGGCCTGCGTCTGAGGACGCTGTCCAGCCTGCATGGTGGATGACGCAGAAGAACATGCACGCTTGAGCTCACCAATTATTGGATGGCTGAAGCTAAAAGATCTTGTCCACCATCGACTGCCAGGAAAAATATCCACGAGAGGAGCAATTCACGCTATATGATTCATTCGATTGGTCCCCAAATCACAGCTTAAATCCACCAGGTCGAGGACCATCTTTTTGTGCTCACTGATCATATGCCCACCTGCTGATTCGCTCATCAAGATGATTCTGAGAGGAGTGCACATGTCTTAGTGGTAATGGTGATAAGGACTTCCACTCTGCATTCAAACACCATCATCGACACTGAATCTGGCCGTGAAATCTTAGTGTCAGTAACCACTGTCAGTGTTTGCAGAAAGTGGTGCCACTGCATTCTTAATCTTCCTTTTCAGGGCCATGAACAGTGCCCAGAACAGAGAAGGAGAGAGAGGGACTAATCATGCCACCTTTCGATGAAGAAGATGGTGTTGAACACTAGTCTACATCATAAATTATAGTGAACAAAGGGTGTAGATCCCATAGATGCATGTTCTTGTTCTTGAGAGAGAGAGAGAGAGAGAGAGAGAGAGAGAGAGAGCTTGGCAGTGTCTTGTGGAAGCCGGCAGGGAACGCATACATAAAGTAATCTGCCATTTCCATCTGAAGTGAGCAGCAGAAACGAGCAGAGCTCAGTGTGGCTTGGTCTTCTCTGCTTGCTTGCTTGCTTGCTTTCAGTTCCAGAGAGGACAAGGATTACCAGCTCCTTGCAGATTCCAAAATTGAGATTGTCGGCTCTGAGGGAACTCTGAAGAGGATGATGATGTTGACTCCAATGCTAAAGACAAAAGCAGGGAGTCAAACAAAGGCATGCAGTTGAAACATCAACACCAACAACCAGAAGAAGAGAGGAGGTTAAAGTAGGGGAAGTGCTGGAAGAACATCAAGCAACAGTTCAGTAGTAATTGACAGCTTCCATTGGAAAGCAAGTGATTTAGCATAAAGATCTGAGGTTGAAAGAAGTGCAAATTGACATCACCCATTGGAAAGCAAGTGATTTAGCATAAAGATCTGAGGTTGAAAGAAGTGCAAATTGACAGCATCCATTGGAAAGCAAGTGATTTAGCATAATGATCTGAGGTTGAAGGAAGTGCAAAGTGGAGTTAGAACAGCATGAATTAATTGATTGTAACCATAAACCTGTTGGATTAATGAATCACTGACAAAGAAATGACTGATTTATACTAACTAGTCACATCAAATCAAGGTGATGATTGGAATTAAAGCCACACCTTGCTATGCAGGTGGTATACCTCAGCTGTTCTTGAACAAAAGAATCCATGAAAGAGACTATTGAAGACGAGCAGAGGATGAAAATTGATATTTTCACAGAATTCAACATTAAATCCATCACGGCAAAGATATAGTTTGAGCCAGAGTTGGATTAGATTCTGAAGGTAAGAATTGTTGGTCATAAAGAAGTTCGATAGGATAATCGACTCGTTAACATGATATAGACTTAAATCAAATAATTTGAAATCCTTATACTTAAGTTAATAGCAATTTATATCTATTAACCTATAGACCCAATATAAGCCAAATTTTGATTTCTCTCATCAAAACCTAATAGCAAATCATTTAATAGAATATGTAAAGCCCAGCCCAATACCATCCATGGATGATCCTTGTGAACTTGTATCTCTCACCATATCCGATATTAGGTCCGGTTCGATCGACATATTATTTGTCACATTAATCCTCCGAATCAAGGAAAAATAATTTCACAGAATATTTTCTTCTATCCTGACACTATTATGAAGTATATTTTCTGCTAGCAGAAACTACTGAGACCATTTAGATTAATAAACTGTAACCAAAAGTTATTTTAGATCCATGGTTTTTATTTTCTTTCTAAAATACTCTTCATTTATAAATATTTTGACAAACATAACAAGACCCAAAAAAATTAAGTGAAAATTGTTGCTGTATTTTACTTGAAACTCTTGATGCACTTCCCTTGTAGCAATATCTTTGTTTTCTACATTGAATTTGCATTAGATTCCAGGTTATGTTGTGAGCCTGAGAGTAGAAGCAGATTTTGATTCATAGATCATCCTGCTGTTTCTGGTCTCATTTAGCATCTGGAGATTTCTCCAGCACTAAATTTCTTGAAGAACAAGAATATTTCAATATGGTAGAAGACAAACAAACATTGTAATAAAGATGGAGATGAAGCACATTAGTGAACTTTAAAGCCATTGACAGATAAGAATGGGTAGCTTGGAAGCATAGCACAGCATATGGTCACTAGTCTCATAAAATATGAGACAAGAAGCATTAAAGATGGTGTTTGTGGTTGGTAGGCTATAATTAATATTTTTTGTGAAGATTCCATGGATTTGATACTTTGTTAGTATTTTTATCAATTAATTTCATATTAGTAAAAAATATTATATATAATGTTATTAAAATTATCTGCATGTCCCGTCATCCAATTTGATGGGATAATTAACTCATTTATCTTATAAATATGAATTATTGTTTCAAACTACCATAGTTTAAGCTTTCCATAAGCTCATCTAAGCATGTGTGATTTATAACTGAGGTGCCAAACATTGTCTTGTTTAAAATTGTCCTTATTATAATTTAAATATAGTGCACATTAAATTCAGTATTTATGTCTAAATTCATGTAAACAAAGTAGGATAGATGTTGAAATACTCCACAATTTATACTACTCTACATGGAAAAGATGTGTATCTTGAAGAATGAAGCATCCCTACACCAAGTGGTGCCAAAAGCACACATACATCAACTGCCAAGAACAGAACTTTACAAGTAATTTCATAAGCACATGATCTGATGAGACTTACAAAAGTGAAAAAGAATACATTCCCGGGAACATTTTACAGGATAAACTAGTTCATGAATGAAATGAGTGTGTCATGAGGACCTCCATCCTAGCAAATGATATTTGATATCAGCATACTATGGGCAATGCAAGTAAACAGAACTACTGATATGTGGTATGCATCAAATCATGATAAAGGCTAAAAACTAGAGAAGTGATTGTGTCCTAACCTGTGAGAGACAGTGGCAAGCTAAGATTCCCTTCATGAACACAATCATTGTGGTACACTGGGAGACAACATAGAGCAATGGCTGAACATTTATAAGGTTACCTACTGTTTGCCCCTTCATGTACTTTAATAGCAGCTCACTTGGATCAAACATGTAGCCTAGAGGCCAAATCTCTCATCACAAACATTAACCATTAGATGATTGTCTCCTAACAACTAAAAAAAAAAGAAAACTCATTCATAACTAATTTTTTGGATTATGGATTATGTTCATATGATATATACATATACATATATATATATATATTCACAATTATGTAAAAATATTCTCTAACTCATCTCACTCCTCAATATTTTATATTCAACATGCTATCCAAGGAGCAGTCTTTTTCTCATCATGTGGATAGTGTGCTATAGAACAAGAAGAGCACAACTGTACAACCAGCATTGGGCCATCCATTAAGTTTCAGGTCAACTGAGTCAGATGGTATACATTGCTGCACAGACAGAGCCACCAAATGTGGGGCCCACCAAGACCCCACTGAGGTCCAGCTTGGGGCTGTAGCAATTTAATGCCTGAAAGTAATGGAACAAATGGTATTTTTGGAAAAAAAATTTGGAAAAAATTTCTCCTGAAACATAGGAAAAGAGGAAGAGAGAGAGAGAGAGAGAGAGAGAGTTATAAGCTCCACTCACATCCACTATCCAACACAGACAAGTTTTCTCCTGAAATTAAAGAGAAAAAAAAGGAAGAGGGATAGTGGATATGAGTGGAACTTATAATTCTCTCTAAGACATGGTCCTGAACCTTCCTAAATCCACCTTATCATCATTGCTGAGGCATCCACCTAAAAGATATATACTGGTACATAGGAAACATTCCAAGGTCCCAAAGGCTGTTCTCATAGGCTAAATGATGAGCTCATATCAACACAATGAATTCAATCCCATTATATAACCACTCTTCTCTTCTCTTGTTGCACCATATGATCATTTTACCTTCCTCTCTTCTTCATACATAGATAGGACATGACCATCGTGAGTCCATTTATTTCTCTTGGATCTCAGTGAGACCCCTCTCAAACAGTAGATATACACACACAAAGAATACGAAGAGAGCACAAGCAAGTGTTGGTGTTCTTTAACTGCAGCAGCAACAGAGCTTCAATCACACACATCAGCAACTTTCCTTCCGATGGCTGCAATGCATCATCCATGCTCAAAACAGCTCCCAGTCCAACCTTGCATGGGGAGTGGAGGTGGCGGCGGCCGTGGGCGTGGAGGTGGACGTCGGGAACAGGGAATCGAATGTTTCCCAGTTCATCGACGACAGTACCACGGCTTGCTGCGGCAGCTTATTTAGCTGCTGCTGCTGTTGGAAATGGGATTGTGGTGGTTGATGACGATTTTGGTGCTGGTACTGGTTCTGTGATTGCTGCAAATGCATCTTTTGCTGCTGATGCTGAGGTTGTGAGTCCCTCCTCTGCTGCCTTGGCTGTGACCACTGCGGCTGTTCTTTGCCCGGGGGACCATTTCCTCTCGGCATCCAGTTCTTCATCTTGATCGCGTCCAGGGTCTCCACATACTTCTGCACTCTCCTAATCTGTTCCAAGCAAGGAATCAATCGCCAAGCAACCGAATTGAACAAACGCATAGCCGACAAGGCGAGGAATTGATCTGACCTGCGTTCTCCTCTGCAGCTTCGCGTCCCCGTCGGCGACGATGGCATCCAGCTTTATCAGCTCGTTCATCAACGAGTCGATGAGATTGGTCACGTCCGTCTCCACCACCCTCCCGCCCTTGTTCACGATCCCATCCAACGCCGACACCTAGTCGTTCGGTCAAAGGAAGGTCCTCAGGATGATGATCCTACGGAGATTACTGTTGAGAGAAGGATAGACATTGGTGGGTGGGAGAACGATTACCTTGGAGGCGAGCCGATCGACCTCGAGGCTGATGGCGGAGATGGACTTGGCGGCCTTCTCCATCTTGTCGGTCTTGCGCATCTCGAGGAGGCGCTTGGCCTGCGCCGTGGAGTCTTCCACTAACACCACCTTCGACTTGTCCTTCACGCCGGCGATGTCCAGGAACGCCGTCGACTCCCTCTCCTTATCCTTGTACATCAGCTTCATGTCGAGCGGGTGCAGCCCCGTCCTGGCTGACAGCACCTTCTTCAGCTCCCCTGCGCCGCCACACTCATTCAGTCAATTCGTCGACCGCCTTGGCCGGACCAACCGCCACAGCAAGGAGAAGAAACAGAAAACGCCGGTTCGAGTTCTTACCGAAGGTGGCCTGAGAGCTGATGTAGATCTCGTGGTACACGGCGCCGTACTTGACCTTGACGCGGATAGCGGGTACAGGAGCGGCCACGGCGTCGGCGTCGGGATCGCGCTTCTGGACGAGCATCCCCCCGGGCCTGAGCTCCCACTCCGCTGCCTTCTCCGCCGGCGGTGACTCCTTTATGGGGCTGAAATCTGCCGCTCTCTCGCCTGTCCTCGACCGCATCTTGCTCTTCATATCTTTCGGAATCCGGAGGATCTACAGAGCAGCAAGCAACCCAAAGACCGCGACTTTCCTCCCAAATCCGCAAACGAAGACCACAACTCGTCGAGCACGAGCCAAAATTTAGGCCAAGAAGGAGACGAACTGCTTCTCCGAGCTCCGCTTTCTTGCTTCGAGGAGAGGAAGGGAGCGAGGGAGGAAGGAAGGGGGGGGGGGGGGGGGGGGAATGAATCGTGTTAACGGAGACACGAACACAACGGGTAGACTAAGCGGATATTTATATCGGTGACGAAGCCACGAACCGAGCAGAAACAACAACAGGATGCCAACACGACCAAAAGCACGACACAGCAGCGAAGCCGATACGTAACATCCCGTTATATTCACACGCCACGAGGAAACCGACACGCTTTACGTCATCCCTCTTAATTATCTGTTAAACCGGTCCAAAACGATACGAGTCCAGCAATAATGACGCTCAACTCCACCTACCCACGCGTCGGGACTAATCGCTTCGCGGGACCCGCCCTCTGTCTCGTGGTCAACAAACACCTTCACGTGTCTTAATTCCCCAGGATTCCATCCCGTTACTTTCTTTCCGACTCACCCAACGTCGTACCCGCCTGGTGACTGGAACCCCACGCAGATCGTATCGGCCGACACGAGCCGGTGGGGCCGGCTTCCTACGTCGGCTACCTGCACCGCGGGCCCCGCGCCCACCGACACTCCGAGAACTTGATGGTCTCGTCCGACGAGCCACGTGGGGGCTTCCAGGGCCGTCGGATCTGCGCGCTGTACATGATTAAGAAATAATTACCACATAAAGCCTGCCGTATTATTAATCTCATCGTCAATGGGTATAAAGAGGGGTTAATTAGTATTATATATCGACGGAGATATGTTAATTGCATGATTAACAGTATAGCATCCAGCTAAAGGACAAAAGGGATTGGGTGCGACATCAATCGGACCGCTGGTGACCGTCGGCTCGTGATCGATCGATCGTGATGAGATGGTGGCACGTATAGAAGGAAAACGTTTGTCGAATGATTAAGAAGCACAGCTAATAATTGCATAACAGCGAATAGGTGACACGTACTTCTTGCGTAAGGCAGAGAGGACACTAATTATTTGCTCGTTGACCAAATGGACCATAATTAATATAGGCTAAAGAAATAATAAAACAATCGAGTATGATTAAATAAATGAATTAAAAGATAAAAGGTAAGAAATGAATTTGGGGATAATCTCAAAATTCAATTGATATTATCTCTAATACAAATATAATTATGAAAAATAGAATAAATCTCTTTTACTGGAACAAGCAAAAAAGAAAAAAAAAACATGTTGCAATCAATGGGGAAAGAAAAAAAGATGAGAGTATATATTTTTTTTCTATTTTTCAGGACACTATTTATAAAACTACCAAATAAAATATTGTTTTACAAAAAAAATTCCTAAAAGTAAAATAACTTTAACAGAATAAAATATCATTTCTAAACTCTTAACAAAAATGCCTTCCTACTTAAAATTCCTAAAGTACTTTCACCTTTCTTGTCAATGAAAACAGAAAATACTTCAATTATTGCTGAAGTTGACACCTTATAAAATTCCAATTCTAACACACCCTGCCATTCATAAAAAAAAAGTAAGTAGTTCATGACAAATAAACTTCTATTGATTGCTCATCATATTTGTTGTGATTCATGGTTACTATAACTTAATCTTATTGTTGTTTCATGTGAATCATGTCTCACATTTTACCTGTCATAGTTCAATTTAACTATTTCGGATCAGCTATATGAATCTCATTTTGTCAAACTAAGAACAGTTCAATTTTACATTAATACTCATAATATTTCTTTTAATTTACTCATCTTTTTTATTTTTTTTATAACATAAAGAACTTCAGCACTAAAGATATTTAAGTTTTTTAGGACTAATATTTGTTAGAGATTGGTACATGTGTTTTCCAAGCAATATGTGCAGACTAAAAGACATGAAGACCAACAAGCAAAAGTCTATGGTCATAAAAGATAGGCAAAAAGCTTTCATGTCCATAGGGAGATTAAATAGCACTTTCAAGTCCACCCAAACACAATGCATTACATAAAAGCTTGACAACCAAACATATTTGTCTTTCACAAAACATTCAGATGTCACATGTCATAGTAGTGCTTCTTGCTTTTTGTTCCTCGAATAATGCATGTTGAACAAGCTTTAAGGTCACTTAAACTAATCATGATCCTGGAATTAAGACACATTGGCATGTTAAAAGCTGGATTAGGATCACCCACAAGACTTAACATAATGATGATGAGCTTTAATTTTTTCTTCTTTTAGAGAAGGAGAATGATGACAAACTGTTTATGCCTTTCATGCAGATCAAACCATAATGATTTGATGATACAGGATTATGCCCCTTCCATTCTATGACTATATTATGTGCATGCACAAACAGATTAAATTAATTAACAGATAAAAGTTAGGCTTCTCGTGATACCATTAGGTCAGATTTCTCCATCCCTGACAAAGCTTCCTGCGTGCACCAACTTCTGGATGTCGCTTGAGAAACTTCACAAGAATCAAGTGAGCCTCTACTTTTATTGTCTCCCACCCAGAGCTAGCTAAGCAATATTGTGTTAGTCAACAAAAAGATAATGCCAAGGATACAGTCAATCAGATACTGAAATCCTGGTGTTCTTCATGATGTGCATATAAGCAAAACCAAAATCTGCAACAAGGTTGAATCCTGGCTCCTGTTAAACAATTCATTCAGACAATATAATGAACAGTGTTCATCATGAAAATCTCATGTCCTACAATACTAGTTGTCATACTTTTTTGCCATCGATATTGTCTAAAAGATCATAGGATAGATCATCAAAATTTAACTAGATAGAAGCTAAAGCCTGCTTCAGAAAAAAAAAAAGTTAAAAGATTCATAAACTTTCTCCAAGTTCAGCACAGGCACTGAAACCACCATGATACAATAACAATAAAAAACCAATCTGCTAAAAGTCCAACAAAAAACATCTAAATTGAATATTAAATTAGATGAATACAAAGATTTCTGCTGTGGCTAATATGAAGTGGTTAAGAAGTCACTCATGTAATCATCACCATAGTACAGTAACAATAAAGAAATCCAATCTGCTAAAATTCCAACAAAAAGTATCTAAATTTCAGCTGTGGCTAATATGAAGTGGTTAAGAAGTCACTCATGTACCATTTGCTGTCAATTGTAATGGTTAAGATGAAGCTTTCAACTTTTCCTTGTCAGTGTGAAAACAAGAAAGTTGAATTCTTCATCAATCAAGAGCTTATATTCTCGCCCACAAGAATGGAGAAGTTTCTAACACAATCAAATCATATGTGAATGCATGCGTTATCAGTAAATGTAGAAAACATTACAATCGTTGTCTCTAGAGCATGCTAAGAAGAAACCAGACATGTAAACAACTTAAAAGAGTCCCAAGGTTTTTTCTATTTAGTACCTCAACTTGTTTTCTTTATCACCAAAGAAACACAGAAATACAAACCAAAGATCAAAAATGACCCAGTGAACCTCCAGTTCAAAGTATGAGAGGGAATCACCAGAACAAATGGATTGCAGAGCAAAGTTCTAGAGCTGGATCATTGAGACCCAGAACAGCAGATGGTGGGGGTAAGTTCAAGTTGATGCAGGTGGTGAGTCACATTGAGTCCATCTACTTCAGAGTTCCATCTATCAGTATCCATCAAATTTGGACTCCAAAGAGACATGAGAGTTAGCATCAGCCAAAGATTAGAAGATGCACACAAAGTCACTGGACTGACTACTGACTGCTTGATATCCTGATCTTATGCCATTGACATGAACACACCAACCAAATACAGCAAGGTTAGTTGTTTGCTGGTATTGATCTGAGGACTTTTGATTAAGAACTCACCAAGTCTATGCCAAGTATTGAAATTATGAGTCACTAGACCTCCATTAAGAAAGAGTACTCAATATGAAAGGGTGATTATTGATTCATGATTCTGAAATAGTTAGCACAAGTATGAGTTAGGTATGAAATGAATTCCCACCGACTATAGCAAATATGGCACCTAAATCATGTGTTCAAAAGAAAAAGAGTGGGAGATATTCATGATACACAAAATAAAAGGAAATGTATATTAAAAGTAAAATTTGCAAGGTTGTGTGGTCATGCATGGAAATGTATATTGGTAGCAGAGACAAGGTTATTAAAGCTCTTTATTTATTGGATAGGTACTCCTATATCAGTTGCATAAAGAACCAAGCGATCTATTCTTTATTTATTTGACAGGTCCTTAAAACTTCCATATGCAATCACTTTGAGATCTCAACAGCAAGATTTGACAGTGATGGATAGAAGTTTTTATTAGCTAATTGAAGTCAGACATAAACTCTATAGCAAATGGAAAGATGACACAACACAAATAATAGAACACTCCCCCACTGTTCATAGGAACTGTTTTACAGTAGACCAAGAGAAAGATCACTGAGAACATTTTAGTCATTAAATGATATAGTAAAGAATAGTTTCATCCTGATCTTGTAGCTGATAAGGCTTCCAGTCAAAAGTTAATTCTCATTTCCTCCCTTTAAAATTAAAATTTTGGCTCTTGGAAACAATGACAGCCTGTCGCAGTCATTGACAGATTGGCCATGAGATGTCATTCCCATTAGGTCAACTTTGCCCCAAGTTTACTTCAAGAGAGACATATAGAGAATTAGCATACTAATGGACCACCACATTGGAGTTGACTGGATTCTAAAACTGTCTTATCTGAATGGTTAAAAATCATATACATGATTAGTTATGATTATCTTCCAAATCAATGACATAATCATATATAGAGACGGCTAAACCTAATTAACAGAAGAGAACTAGAATAAAAGATGGCATTCATCTGTGAAGGGGGTTGCCACTGTCTTTGAGTTCTTATCTCTTGATATACTTGAAATCTCATCCAACAGGATGTTGGAATGATGCAATCTTTGGAGGTCACACAGAAATGTCGAACACCAACACAACAATGCTGATGAAATTAGCATAGTTAGAAAATAAAATTAAGTTTCTGAAGCCAAGTGTCTTAAGCTTACACAAGAAGAGAGATGAAGAAATAGAGCTGCATTCATAAAGACAAATATCCTCGACCAACTCTGGATCAGGGTGAAAATCCCATAACCAGAAGTT